TGCCGCCTCCTGCCTCTTCTTTAGCTTCTGCTCATCCCCTGCTCTTCCTTGGCTTACACCCAACACTCCACAAAGAGCCCATGCTCTGTACAGTGCATCCTTTTGAAGAAAGCCCATGCTGCCTCTTTTTCCTCAAGCCTGCAGAGAGGTGACTACACTCAGAAGCACAAACCTCTTGTTAAAACCTACCCCGCCATTTCTGGCTGCAGTGCATACAACAAGGAGGACTGTTGCCATTTCAGCCAGAGGCACTGGTGTCTGCTCAGTGGGAATTCACTTTGCATTTGCTTCACGGTTTCTGCAGAGGGACAGCTGCTGAGCAGCCCCCTTTCCATGGGTGGTCACATGCTCTTTCCAGTTATCACCCACTAAGTCTGTGGGGAGTACACCCCACTGGAAAGCAGAGCTTAGGGTGTTGTGGGTGGGAATTACAGCAACAGTGTTTGACTTCGGATTTTGCTCTCTCTGATAGCCACAAAATCATCTGTATGCACAGTGAAGGCATGTTGGCTGGGGCTGACTTCAGATCGTGTCTTTTCTGGTTTTAGACAAAATTACTGGTTTCTCGCAGCAAGAAACCTGCTTAATGACTGAACTCATCGCTGTTTGCTTACTGGGGAATTGAACACATTGGTAGCCAATAGGGTATCTGCTGAGGCATCTAATGGGCTTTTCAGCCAGTCTCCATAACAGGCCTGGAAGATCCACAGTGCACTTAAGAGCTTTATTGTCCCAGCACAGAGCAGATCATCAGCCCTTTCTTTGGGAATCTCATAAGAGATGCAGCTGCCTTCCCATTATTTTCAGACTTGTGTTTCTTTATGGTGGTTACCCCCATGGCAGCTGTGCACTGCAGCACATCCATCAGAGCCCAGCGACCCCACCTGGGGCAACTAGGACTCCAACAGCCTCAGAAACTATGGGGGAACAAAAATGCCCATTCCTGTATGCTGTTAGTTTTCTGGGATGACTATTGGCAAGTCAGACACGCACAAAGGCACAGGCCAAGCTCAGACCCTTGTTGTGCAAGTAACTCTTTCCAGCTTGCGGGAAGTTTTGAACTCACTTGGGTGAGGGAGGCAAACTGCTGTCAGGGAAACAGAGGCAGGGAGAAGATAGAGCTAGGACAGATGTAAAGGGGAAGGGAGAGGGGCTGAGTGCTGCTACTTCCCTGTATGATGACCAATCACTGCTGCTGGTGACTGCCACTTCTTAGGCCTGCTCCCATGCTATGGGTAAATCTCTTATTGCAGATCCCTGAAGTCCTGGGACAGGTGTGGATGGCTGCGTGAAAGCATCTGTCAAGGAAGGTGCCTGCCCAGGCTGTTTCCCCCGGTGTCAGCAGTGCTGTGGGAGCACGATCTGTCCACCAGCCTGGAGCAGTGACATTGTGTTGCATCTTCTCCTGACAAGGAAACTTCTTAGACGGGTTTGATCACTGTGAAGCCATTTCAGAAAACTGACAGCATTTGCTAATGCTGAGCTTATGCAACTGTGCAAGTCACGAGTCACGTTGTGCACTGGTCTCATTTTTGTGCAGCATGTCAAATCAATTGGGGAGAAGAAATGCCAGGGCCTGCGTAAGGGAGAGCTGTTGTATTATTTTTCTTACTCAGATGTTTTTTCTCCCTTTTATCTCTTCATTTTCTTAGGTGTGTGGTGGCTTTCCTATTTAAGGCTGAATGCTCTTTCAAAACAGAGCCTTACCCAGTTGGGGTGTGCCAAGGCTTACTCACAGGGAATGCTCAGGCCGTTCCTACCTGAGTGTTCAGATATCCCAGACCAATAGCAGATGCAGGTGGGAGAATGATTCGTATTTCTGTGTGCAAGGCCAAGCTCTGAAGTGTTTCCCCCTTCAATGCGCAAGCAAGACTCTCAAGGAATGAAGGAAAATTCTCCCTGAATTAAGAAAAGTCAGCCAGGCCTATGGGATTTTTCAGCCAGAGGTTAAGCACAGTGTCTCTATACCTTCCTCACCAGGGTGATGAAAAGCAGCCCAAGCTGATCTGTATTAATCCTGCATGGAAACACAAAAGGCTCAGAGAGTAAAACATTCCCAGACACAAGTACAGGCCCTGCTCCACTTTGCTTGGAAACCTCTGTGTCTCTGCCCTACTGTTCCCCAGGAAACTGCATGATTTCACATCCAGGCTCAGAGCCCTCTGTGAAAGGTGTTGGTAGCACTAGAGAAACCCAAATGAAAACTCAGTGAGTGCCCAGCCACAAGTCCCCATCCCTAGGAACAGCTGAGCAGACTAAAGAAGAGATGCCCGAGTATCTTCTCTGGTTTTGTTGGTATGGCAGGCAACAAAACATCAGGGCTTAAGAGAAGTAGTGGAAAAGGCAGGCAAGCAAGGGTCTTTGAGGGGCAGGAACACGCTGCTGGCAAGGCTGGGAGCTCATACTTCTCTTTGCTTTTTCTTTCCTTCAGGAACTTCAGAGAAATCCTTATTTGATCGTGGATGGAGTTAGCAGATTTGATATCATGCAGGGAGAAATAGGTAAGGTCATATTCCTGTCATGGAAAAGATTAGCACAAAGCAATAACCTGTGATTGCTTTGCTACCTTCTGAGTGCTTGGTGGAAAGATGTGGACCATGGTGGCTGTAGTAAACAACTAGTGCAGGCAGATCCAGTCCACACACACTTTATTGCAGATATTTAACAGGATTCTTGAATGCAGCAGCTCTATTCCCTGTTTCTTATATGTGGTACCTGCCCTCTATTTATATAAGGACGAGCATAGAAAGGGAGGTTCAACTGAGATCAGGCAGATGCTTCAAGTACCAGGGTCACAGTTCTGGGGTAAGTAGGCACAGCTCTAACATGTAGGACTGAATGTTCTTTTCATTCTAATGTCTTTATCTGACTTTCAGTGTTTTCTTTCCTGTGGATATTTCTGTCCATCTTCTCTGATACTTACCCAGACATGTGTCGCACCCTGTATTGGTTCCATCTTTTCCTCCTGGCCCATAACAATGTTTGTCTCTGGGAGCAGCTCTGCTCCCATGTAGAAAGAAATGTCTTCCCGTTTCTCACTCCACTGAGAGGTCTGAAGCTTTCCTAAACGATGTTCTAGACTGCAAGTCTCAGCATGACCACAAAAGATAGGAGCAGCATGAAAGCAGAAAAGGGTGGCTGGGTGGCATCAGGGTTCCCAAAGCACATTGCTGGTGAATATTGGGTAGTGGTTCAGCGTTTTTGAGGAGGAAAGGGAGACAAAAGAGCATTAGTTTCTTTTAACAGACTAGTTCTTAGAATTTGAAATCCACTCTCCTGAAGAGTTAGTTATGGTCCAAAACAATGAGTAACTGACTGAATGCACCGGATTCTTCCCTCCCTTGAGGTGACTGCTGGATGCTGGCTGCCCTGGGCTCTCTGACACTGCAGAAGCAGTATTTGAAAAATGTTATACCAAAGGACCAAGGATTCCAGGATGATTATGCTGGGATTTTTCATTTCCGGGTATGTATTCTCTGCTCTATTGGTACTGCTCAGGCTTGGCTGGTTGGATTATATAGGGATCCAAACTGCAGATGCAGATCTCGACATCCTTGAATGCTTTGGTTCTTCAGTGCTGAATCCCAGGTCACAATTTTGCAGAAACCCCCAGATTTTCTAATGATTCCATGTGTTCCAGTGGAATCACACTTCAGGGAATTTTAAGACCTTTTCTGAAAGTTATGACTGCAGAGGTACAGATAGCAGATGTGTACAGTTAGATTTGTGTACGTAAATGTTTTAGATGGCATTCTGATGTCTGCTTTGATTTGGACAGTTTGTTATGGCTGTCAGCACACCTGTGTTCTTTATCTATTTGGATTCGTTTTCTGTTTCCCCATCTATTTCACCTTGCCCTTTCAGCTCATGGAAATGGCTTGAAATTACAAATCCTTGGAGACAGATCAGAGGAACAGGCTTTTGATATTTTGAGAAGAGATTTGTTTCAGAGAGAGGAGCAAAGCTTTTTAGTAAATCTTACTTTCTACCAACTCTTGAAATTCTCTGAATCTCCCAGAAGGGTGACTAGGATAGTAACAGACAGGCCCTGCTTGCTTGTATCTGAGTTGACCAAATATCTTGTGGGATTGGAAGCACTTGCAGTACCATTAAGCTCCAGAATCTAAATTGGATGTAGAGAGAATCAGTATATACTTGGCTATCCATCATCCCCCTTTTTTTTCACAAACCTCTTTTGTTATACACAGTTCAGTACCAAGCAAAGAGCTCTGGCAGTGAAACTTCTTTGACCCCCTGGAGCTCTTGTGGAGCAGCACTAGGAGGATTGTCTTGTGGGCAGTCTAAATTTTGCTCTGTTCCTTTGCTCCTTGGAATACCAGATGTTTCTGTCTTGGCCCATTTCCAGCATGCAGAGGTGCACTGTATGAGAAAACCAGCTGAAGGGACACCAGTCCGCTTAAAACACATTAAAAGGATGCAATCTAGATTGTCTTTCATGAGAGATTTGAAAAGATTAGTTAGGAGCAATCCTTAGGTCTTAAGCATTATAAATACCTTACAGTATTTGAAAATGTTTTCCTTGTCATCTCATCTGCAAATCAATGCAACTTTCTGGCTTTCCTTGAGCAATAAACCCCTGAGAAAGCTACTCTGAATGGAAATGCATCTTGGCAATGCCTTTCAATTATTCCATCAAAGATATTTTACTGCCATCCACAGGCTAAGCCACCAAGCCTCAGCCCAGTAAAGAATCGCAAACAAGGCATATCATATGCTAATATAAAAATTTTAGTTATAACTTTTTTTCACCTCTTTGGATCTGGAGCACATTGCCTCTCAGGAATACAAAAGAGCTGCTCCAGTCTTCCTACATAACACTGACTGTTCGGCTGCAAGAGTAAAGGATGTTAAGCACTTCATCACCTGTAGTTAAGATGAGTGGCATTTTTATCTGGGGAATAATTACAATGACATTATTTCACCAGGAATTAAGTTAGTCCTGTGTTTGTATAGGAATCACTTTCTCTGCCACAGAAACTCTGATGCATGTGAGGCAGGGTGTGCCACGCGTTGTTGCAGTGAGCAGCAGCAGGGGAAAAAAAGAGAAATATTCTGCAGTGACTACCGGGGGCATGTCACAGTGCCTCAACTCAAAACAGAGGGTATATGCCCTGAGCATTAATGTCCCTGCTCTCGGGAAGAAACTGATGGAATCTTTAAAGGCTGTAAATTGTCAAGACCTCAGTTTCAGGACACATCCAAAAGATGCCTTCTAAAACCATGCAAAAGAGAGTGGTTGAAAGCCATGGGGTTTTCACTTTGTTCAATTCCAGAACTGGATTTCTCAAAGATACTTGTCAAGTGAGGGGAAAAAAGAAGGCAAAATAACCACATAGTATTTCCCCTCCAACCAGCAGCACCCTAGGCATGTTGTTGTCATCTTAGAACTATCCATTTCTTTTTCCTCCTTTTCTAAGCCCAGGAAAATAAAGTCCTGATTTAAAATGCTCACCACAAATGTGGAAACGAAGAACTTCCCTCTTTGCAGGCTGCCTAATTGTTGTATTAACTGTCACGTTCCCAGCTGCAGTACTTTAAATCCTGAGGGTATAAAGTAATTTCATGAAGCCAGACTCTTAAGCCAAAAAGTGAAGGCATTGGCCCTCTCTGAAGGCATATGGGGGAGAATGACTTCTCCTGTACCCTTCTTGCACTCCCAGAGCATCCTAGGACTTTCCATGAGGTTTCTCATTCCCATTGTGGTTTTTCCTGTCCTTGTGAACTCAGATGAGACCACGATCTGAAAGTCTGTGACAGTCGGGACAAAGCACCTCTCTTTATCCAGCTGAAGAAAAATACAGTGCTGCATTCAGAAGGCCTCCAAGCTTGAGCTCCCTACAGAAGACGACCAAGGAACGTGGCTTTTGGAAAAACATCACCCAGTGGGTTTGGACTGCATTAGTCCCTGCAGCCAGTTCTGTATTTTTCTCCTTGTTTACCTGTTGTGTTTGCACATGAAGAACCACGGGGAGGTGTGGCTGGATGTCACACCTTTTCTCCATACAGAGCTACTGCCTGGTGTTGACTGCTGACAGGAGGGCATGTTGGGTGACCAAAAGGACAGGTCCGTCTTGACTGTTCTTTTGCCTGTCTCTCTTTTGGGCAGAGGACAGCCAGTGACAAGCTTGTCCTCAAACCCCACCCTGCCAAAATCAAGCAGAAGCCTCAAACCACTCCTAGAGCTCAAGTTTGGAGAGTCCAACCCTGCCACCTCCTGCCACCACTAATGTAGGAATTAAGAGGCTGGGGTGAGGCCGAACGTAAGGAGGATCAAATTTGCTTTCGGCTTAGTTGACTGTAAGCTGCTTTGCTGCTGGGCAGATCTGGTCTTGTGCTTTTCTAACAGAACAGCTGATTTGGAGGTTTTTCATTGACCAAAGCTGTTGAAATAAAATCATGCTAGACTAAATCTATTGCTGGCATACTTCCACTGGAGTCCTTAGCATTACTGCAAATAAGAGCTTGGCCTCTTATGATTGCGAATCATGCTAAGCTACATTAATCTGCTAATGACTCTGGAAATGGCTCCTTTAGTTCATCCCCACAGATCTCTGTCCCTATCTTCTCCCTTGAAAGATTTCATCAGCTGGATCAACTGGAAAAACACCTGCTCTGTCCACATGCTGGAGAGACTGCCTGCCTCCTACTCGTCTATCAAGGAGACGGATAACACCTCAAAACAGTCTTTAGTCACTACACTGTCCCTGTCCATGATAGCATGTCAGAGTCTTAATTGAAACACAGAGGAAAGAAAATCTAGAGACTGGATCTTGACAGAGGCTCTCTGGCCAAGAGCTATGCTGCAGGGGAAAATCGAAGTGCAGCTGAGGAGTGAGGCTCACTGAACCATCTGCGTAATTGTTCTTTATCATCTTGAACGCTTGCTATTGCCCAAGAATATTAGCATATTTCCCATGTTGAATCTTTCCTCCCAATGAACGCAGGACTATTTATATTCCCAAATAACTTCCCCTGTCACTGGGAAATCCAGCCACTTGGTAGCTTGTTTAACAATGTGGACCATTAGCCTGAAGCAGTTCATGAGAGAACTTGCACGTATCCGTGCTTTAGATTAATTCCTGTGCTATTTAAGGAGGCTGTTGCTTGGCATGAACATTAGCTCTTAAAAGAGGCTCATTCTCTTCTTTCTCTTCTTTTTTCTTTTTTTTTTTTTTAATAATTTATTTCCAGTTCTGGCAATATGGAGACTGGGTGGATGTAGTGATAGATGACCAGCTGCCATTCCTCAACGGAAGATACCTGTCTGTACACCCTCGAACATCAAACGAATTCTGGCCATCCTTGCTGGAAAAAGCATATGCCAAGTAAATATACCTGGTCTATTCTCCCACCCAGTGCTGAATGTTTTCTATGGGTGGTTTCACCCTCTGCTTCACGCAAAGCACACAGGGAGGAGTTCAGACTAACAGCTGTGTGTGTTGCTTATGCAAGGAACAGTGACTGCATGCAAACACAGGGCCAGCATAACCTGGAGGTGCTGGTCTCAGGCTAGAGACCTAAATGTACCCAGTCCAACTCTGGGATGTTAAGGCCTGAGAAGTAAAATGGACAAGGCCATGGCTGGTGACACCAAAGGGGTTGGGCTTTTCTTCCTTACTTAAGCAAACTTCTTTGCCTCTGTTTTCCTTTCCAGATTTTCATTTGTTTAAAACTGCAGACTCTAAGCAGGGATTACCACTGTTTACAGTCACTAATCAGAGATCATACAGATATTTGGAGTAGACAATGAGAGGAAGCATGACTGAAGAACATGCCCAGACACAACACATGCACTCCTGTGAGTGTCTGGTCAGCTCTCACTTCACACAGAGAACTCTGACTCTTGCCTGAGGTCCCCAGAGTACTGCAGGCTTGATAATAATTAATAAAGAGATAATAATTTTAAAAAATCCTTAGAGTGAAGGGATCAGAGTATAGTCCCTTAGCACTGGTGACATTGCCCATTATTAAATATCCTGAAGAGAAATAGGGGTAGTACGAAGGTCTGGAACACAGTACACATGCCCTACATCAAGTTGGTGTAACACTTGCAATGCAGTAAAGAGATGCTGAAGAGAGCTAGTTATTTTGGCAGATTTGGTAAGGAATAAGCAAATGTTAAAGCAGCATCTGCACGACTCAAGAACAGGGTGCATTTTGCCCTGAGATATCTCAGAAAAGTTGACTCAGGATTCAGTATCAATTTGCTGCATAAGATTTTAATTACAAAGCAAACCAAACCTCTATTAAATTAAAGTTGCCAGCGATGCTGTTTATGACATTCCCATTTGAGAAGTTTTTCCCCAGTGCCCATGACAAATTCTTTTCATCAGTGTAGGACAAGGACAACCCTTCATAATACAATTAGCCGCAGACTTCATTTGATTACATTCATTAAATACAATGTGTATGGTGGGGTTTAACAGCGTGCTCTACCTGCTCTAAGTACAGCATGTTCCAGCTTAATTGCTGTCTCCATAAAAACACACGATGAAAACCAAAAGGACTGTGTTGGCAATATTAAGTTATTATCCTACTATTGCACTCTAGCAGAGTGAATTGGGAGCAGCGCTGAAAACTTGTTCCTGTCTTGTCTTGGGAGCATCAGCAAATACCTTCACCTCTCTCCCTTCCTATTTCTCATCTGCAAAAGGGATACTGGGATGAGTCATGACAATATACGATGTAGAAACTAACAGTTCAGCTCCATTTGATCTGAAACATCCATTTGAACTATTCACCCTTGGCTCCCATCCTGTTCAGAAGAAGGAAACTCTATACTTCAAGACGAGATGCAGCTCATCTCCCTAAAATGTCTGCATTGGCATGAGATGCACTTTATTATTTTCCACAGTCTGTAAATGACTCTAGACAGCTGCCTCAGATGTGCGTGAATACATAGGAAAAAGTCCTTCTTTGCCTCATTCATTCCGCAGGGCATGTGTTGTGTCTGGCCGTGTATTTCAATCACGTTTCCTTTTATTACCTCGCCCCAATGTCTACACACCCCAGGCTCCCCCCATGCTCACTGCCTCGATGTGCACGTCTATTTTGGAAACCATCACTGTACATTGTTTGTTAAAACACGGTGTAAGGACTGATTAACTTTTTTTTTTTTTTTTTTCCCAGATTGCGGGGTTCCTACCAGAACTTGCATGGAGGCTACCTTTCCGATTCTTTAGTAGACCTCACAGGTGGAGTCCAAGTGCAGTTTTCGTTGAAGAATCCCCCTCCTGATCTGGAGGAGATACTGAAAGCAGCTGAGAAATCTCAGTGTCTGATGGGGTGTAGTACCTCAGGTCAGGTGAGTCATAGGGCCAGCAGCATGCCTTTCTTGGTTTACCTTTGCATAAATGTTGCTCTTTTGAGTGAAAAAGGCAGTCCGTAATCACTCCATGCAATAGTTACAGTTTATGGATGCCTGAAGAGATCTTGGCAGCAGAAAGTATGTAAGGTTATGCAGTAAAGAGTCGTTAAGTCTTGAACCCTGCCGACAGCCAAATGCCACACAACCACTCACTAGTACCAATTCCCATTCTGAATCCAAAACACATCACTATTCTAGCTACTAAGAAAAATTGGCTCTGTATTAGCCAAAACTAGGGCAGGAATGTAAAGGCTTTTGGGTAGATGTAGATGGATTGGTCTGTCAGTGGCTTCTCTCCTGGCTACTTCCACTGCAATAGAGTGGTATCCTCTTGCAGCAGGGCTCATTTTGACCTCATGGCTTTGTGATTGATCCTATCAAGGCCAAAATGCACCTCTTATCTGTGAGATGATGCTATTATCACGTTGCGATTTGCAGGCTAACAGTATTAGTCCAGGAAAGTTGCAAAAGGCTTTGTGACGCTCAGCAAGTATCTTGCCAAAAGGTTGCCAAGGCTTCGCTTACAGCATTGTAAGGGAAGACTGCAAAATGTGTAGTGCCTGGTTCATCCGGACACGAAGCTTGTTTTTTGTAAACAAGCCAAGGACTAGCCCCTCAGCTAGGTGGCTGATGCTGAGCTGTGGGTGGCAGGGAAATCCTGCCAGTGACCCTATCCAGGTCATTCTGCAGCAACTCTGGACCACTGAAGAACTCACAAATATGTGAACACCTGTATTTTTGTTAAATTTACTGGCCTGCTTATGGCTACATTCCTCTGAAGCCAGTGTATCTGAGATACTGCTGTAGTCAAAACCACGTCTCTCTTTCTGCCATGACAAATGACAGTTCTAGGAGCTGATGTCCATACCTTCACAGTGTGGCAGAGAGCTAAAAGCTGTGCTTTCTTCCTTCTGCAGCTGAGGAGGAACATAGAGCTGAGGGATGGGATTGTACAGGGTCATGCCTACACTGTCACAGGATCTGTGAAGGTAAGATCAAGGACTTGTTCCTACCTGGTGGTCTTGTACTGGTGATGCACTACAGGGCAGTCACACTGCTGGTCCATTCAGAATAATTTTAATTAGCTTCACACTTAGGAAGGATTGTAGAAAGCACATAGTTCAAATTCCAGCAGACGGTAGGATTCTGGCACAATGGGAAGAGGGAGGATATCTGAATCCTCTATTTTTTTCTAATGGAAAAATGCAACTTAAATTCACTTTTGTTTTGGGACACTTCAACAGTAAATGCTGCATTTCTGGGGATTTTCATTCCATGCTGACTCTTACAAACTCATTTTTCTGTTTCAAATGGGAATAGAAGCATTGGCTGAAATTGTGGGATTCGTCATATGATACAAATCTACATTTTTTCAGCTCAATCACAAGCTGCCAAAAATCACTGTGTGAAAAGTAAATAACTTGCTGGTTCAAGAACAACATTTCTCCATCTTTTATAGCTGTTGTACTCATGCGGAACTTCTGGCTAGATATTAATATTGCTGATCTGAAAATAGGACCGATTCATCACACAGATCAAAAGAAATGAAGGATTTTTTACAACCAGAAGTCAGAACATGGCCTACCCCACTAAGCTGTAGTGCACAAAGGAAGAGTTAACAGTGAAGCAAGGCCAAGAAGGAAACTAAACAATGCCTATGCTACCAAGCCAGATAGCTACAACACATTTTAATTTCAGAACCTAAAGTACTTTGGAAAGGGAACGTTGTTTTCCCTAAGCTATTTTCTTCCTTCTCCCCTCTTTTTAATGATTTCCTGTATGAGTTTGGCTTTGGTTCATAGCCCCTCATGCCATGGCATGCTTGGTGCCATCATCATAATCAGTGTCCTTCTTCTCAGAGGACACTTACTTATAGCCAAGAGGCTCCAAAATGGAAGGATGTATATTGCCAGGCTCCAGAGAAGGCCACAGCTGACTCTCCCCAAGACAAGAGTGGAAGGATCCCAAGTCCTATTGGAGATGAAGCAGGCTGCTTCAGAGAGGAGAAACATTCTTTGCCCCACCTTACAGGAGTGCCAAGGCATCAGGGGTTGTCCTGTGAGGAAATGATTTGAAGCTGACCAGGGCATGGGCCTTTGCCTGGGAAGAGACTGCCATGGCATCTGTTTCCAACACTGCCTGTGTGCATAAGGAGAGCCAGAAACAAAAGGTTTGCTTCCCCTTTCCACTTCCACCGTTTCAGCTTCACTGGCAAAAGTGAGTTGCTTCTGGCTTAAGCCAGTGACAGCAAGAGGAGAAAAGCACCAGAAGCTCCAGCTGTTGGAAACCACAGTACTGTAGATGTGGAGCCACGGATTCTATTTATTATCATCTCTCCGTGCTGACTGTTGACATTCACTCCAGGCAGTCTGGTGACCTCGTTCCTCAAAGTCTCTGCCTTTGCTGACTCACAGCCTCAGATGTGCAGAATTAGGCACTGTTTTTTTCCAAGGATGTTGAAGTCATGTGACATAGCAGGAATGCTGCTGCTTCCCTCTGTATCCGCTATTCACGGTTCTCAGGAAAGCAAAATGGGTGCAGTTTTCTCCCACACATCATTCCTTTACAATGTAGTAAAAGGCAGTGAATTTTAGCTGCAGTCAGATGAGATCAGAAGTTAAACCAGGTCTCCAAGGTATGGAAGAAGATCCATTTTATTACCTACCTCTTCACTGAATATCACAACTGTGAGAAGTTGTGACTAAGTTTATTTTTCTTTCCTCTTTAAAGATACGCTACAAGAATGGCTGGAAACATATCATCAGGATCTGGAATCCGTGGGGCCATGGGGAGTGGCAGGGGCCCTGGAGCGATAAGTATGATCTTAAAGCTTTAATCTCATAAGGAGAAACACTCTTTTATAGGCTTATTATAAAGGACCTCTGCCTTGTACCCATTAAAATGAAATAGACATTTCTAAATCAATTCAGTATAAACATGATTTCCATCCCAAAGCAACTGTCCACAGAAATCAAATCCAGGGAAAACTAATGCAGCATTGATTTCATATGTGCTCCTCACTAGGCCTAGCTTAGGGATCCCTTTTTGTTTTTCCCAGTGGATAATTTCAGATAAGACATGGATGAAAGAGTTGTTATTACCTGGAGTAAGCTCTGGCCATGCCCCTAGATGCTGACTCTATTGAATTCTCCTGTAGCAATCGTGCATCCACCTTCCTGCTCCTTTTTCCCCTCCCATGAGTCTGAATCTGGGAAGAGGATGGTTAGCAGGGTCACTGAGAGTAGGGCACTATTTTTATGTAGTGCTGAACACAGAGACAGAATGTGTCCTTGGATATTGCAAAGGCCAAGTGCTACTGGATGGCTTGAACTGATCTTTTGGATCCTGCATGCAGCTTTGGAGATGAAGGGGCCACCTTGCTGCTGTGTGTATAAGTTAACTTTTCTTTCCTGAGGAAAGGAAAGATACAGAGGAAGACTGCAAGAGTGTTTTGTAAATAAATAGATGTTAGTTTTCCTGATGGAATTGCATCAGTGTTTTCCTGAGTAGAGGGATGTTCATTTGTCATTTAAGTTGCCAGGAACACTCACAACTTCTCTGCTGAGAAAAGTCAGGCTAACATGTTGTGTCTGGATGGGTTGGCGGGTGGTGCAGACATGTTTAAGGCTGGAATAATAGCTATCTGCTCAGACAGCATCCTCCCATTTTTTGGAACGGTGAACTGTAATTCTAACTGTAATTGAAATGTCAGTAGAGCACATTCACAGGTAAACTGCATAAATCAATAAATTATTGATTCATGCTCTGTTTATTTATCTTAAACTCTGCAGAAAGTACAATTATCACTTAATTATAAACATGCTGCTTGGAAACAAAATATTTGACTGGCTAATGTGCCCTCTACACATCAGTGTAGTATCAGTACTTCAGAGTGTTATGCCTTGGTACCTCACTAACCTCTCCAGCATGGGGACAGGTGACTGGGGCTTGAAGGGCAGAGGCAGGATTCCCCATCCCAGGGTGGGCAACTCAGGCACAGCAAAGGTGCAGAGCTCCATTTGCTGGCCTTGGCTATGAAGATATTGAGCACAGTCCTGTTCCCAACGTGCAGTTTTCTCACCCCTCCTGGTACCTCATGGCTTAATGGGCTGGTTAGAGAATGGGCTGGCCAGAAAGATGGAAAATTGTGCCTCACATTTGCTTGTTGATTTGTTCCTGTTTGCAGCTCTCCTCAGTGGGACCATGTTGAGCCTAAATGCAGAGAATCCCTCCTGAGAAATAAGGATGATGGAGAATTCTGGTATTTCCCTATTGATCCTTCTGTCTACCAGGTTTTCTGTTCAAATTCATTATGAAAAAGGAGTCATTTAGGCAGTTCTCTGCCCTTAGTGATGGCTCAAGGCATCCTTGTGTTAGCTGTGTGCAAACAGGAGGTTGTCCTGACCCCATGGTTTCAGAGGAAAGAAGACTGGGAGAAATGGAACTGGTCAAGATTAAGTAACAAGCTGGCGAAAAAAATGAAAAGCGAGAGAAGTTAAAATCCAGCTCCCTCAGACCTACTCATTTTGTCACACTGCCCTTCCCCATAAAGTGCCTAGCTTGAACCTTGGACTGGCTGGTGCTTAGAGGGGACAGGTGGCTAAGCAAGTGTTAGAGCTTGTGCACTTGACTGCTCTGCAGGTGCTTATGTTTTTTTCCTGCCTTCAATTACTCTCGGAGCTGTTTTAGGCATGTGTGAGCCATCTTGTCAAAAGCTATTATTATTCAGAAAGTGCACACTTGCCCCATGAGGCTCTGTGGAAAGCACAGAAACAGCAGGCTGGTCTGAGATAGACACTGCAGGCCTGAGCAAAGCATGAGTGCAGGGCAGGACACCGCAGAGGGACAAAGCAAGGTGCAGTGGCAGAGATGTGCTGGAGGTAGCAGGGCTCCACCTCAGCACTACTGAACGTGGCCTGTAATTTCCCTGGGGCTTTAGGTGCACTCAGGGCACCCCAAATGCATTGAGAGCTGACTTCTTCTGCAAGGTATCAGCCAGCTCAGCTACACCCTGTAGTGCTCTCTTTAATCCCCTTTTAAAGACATGGGAGGTGAACTGGTGTCTCAAAATGAAAGGCGAGATTTTCTCCTTCTCTGCAGGATGTCCTGTAAAAACTTCCAGGAGCAGTTTTCCTGGCTGTATATATGTAACAGCACCCCAACATTTCTGGACTTTGGAGATCAGCAGTGCACAACATGGTCCGTGGACAGCCACATCAACCTGTGGAGTCCAGTCCTCACCAGAGGCAGGAACAACTATTCCCCAGGTAATGAACGCTCACTGCAGTCACGCAGTCCTCTCCTCTTCTCCATTGTCGCTTACAGTGAAGCACTCACTCTGAGCACCAAATTGCAGAAATATTGATTGCCAGTTGTTAATGCCTGCCCTTTCCCATTACAGCACCTATCAGCTAAAGCAGAAGAAAAGCAGCAGCATTGGCTGCTGAGTTAAAACAGGAGACTTGTGGTTTAGAAACCCTGAACTCTCTAAATCAAATTGTGCTTGCCTATCTTCTTTCAGCCAGTTGCAGCAGGTGTTACTGGGGACCTCATCAGAATCACAGAATGGTTTGGGTTGAAGGGACCTTTGAAGATCATCTAGTCCAACCTCCCTAAAATGTTTCCCTAACTTCCAGAATTAGGGTAATAACACAGTGGGTTTTTTCCCCATTAAACAGTAACTATTACATGAGGATACAGGGGACGTCTGAGAGCCTTTTGTAGCTATGGGTGATTCACCAAGGTGTGAAGCTGAAGCTTGCATCTGCCTTCTGCTGTAGCTTCTTACCTCTCCTCTCTACAGCCAGCATTGTTCAGACTTATCTGTAATTTATATTATCCAAAAGGGAAGTACAGTAAATAATCTTTGCCAAGGAAAGAGAAGGATGTCAAGGTGCCTCATAAGGGATCATTATCTTCAGAAGATGAGAGCATTCACCTTACTATTACATTATTGACCAAGTTTCATCTGCAAGCAAGTGCACTCTGGGTACTCTTCCCCCTTGGTCTGGCAAATATGTAGGCGATTTTACAGAGCAAGAAATACTCTAAAATTAAATGGATATGAAATGAAAGAATTGTGCTACAAAGCTCTTTTTTCGAAGGTAGAAAGGCTTTTGAGCACGTAAGACCGTTGGTTTTACTGCCTGTGCAAGGACTCTCCTGGCATTGCAAGCTCAAATTATTATTAGTATTTTTTTTCTTATTTTTTATCTTATTTTAGCTTATCTAACTTTTTTTTTACAGCTGCATCACTATTTGGGCTCTGTGTTTTTAGTCTAAGATGGTAGCATGTGGTCAGTGAAGGAGCTTCTTTCTTCTGCAGTGCTGATTGCTGACTTAGCAGCAAACAGGTTTCAGCTTACAAGTTTCAGCCTCCTCCTCGTAACCTTGATCCCTGTGTCTCAAGGGGTGATAACAAAGCAATGCCTGTGCTGCTGCATACCACAGGCACTGGGACTGAGCGAGGAGGTGCAGGGATTGAACTGGGAGTGTGTCAGCAGAGCCGTTTTCCATAGAGATTTGTTTTCCACCAGCCCTCTAGTAAAGTTCCTGTCCAAGTACAATCAGGCTGAATTGCAGCTTTCAAGGCCACCCAACACAGCTACACAGCTTGAAGTCTAGACTGGTTTAAGCAGATGCTGCCATCTCATTCTTTTTCCCCAGTTTGGGCATTTTACTGCTTTCTTCTCGGGGATGCTTCCTGTTAACCAAAACCTCAGCCAAGAAGCCTTTTCCCTCTGGTGCTCAACACTCTGTCTTGTCCATCACAAACACTAAAAGGAAGGGGAGGATAGCTTTGGACCATTCTGTCTTTTTCTTTTATGTGTTTATGATCTCCAAGCCACAGTCCTTTTCAGCTCAGCCACTGGATCAGGCAGCTGATTAAGAATCTCTGCTTTTCTGCCTCTGGGGAAGTGTGCCATGTAGGTGAAGCAGACATAACGGGGTTGAGAAATCTGCATGACTTTTATGAATTTGACAGAGATTTCTAAAATGCACAATCAGTTTAACTCCAGATGCCTCAACTCCTACTGGTAACGTAGAGACTACAGTGCTCTGTTGTATTGAAAGGATCTTGGAGCAGTAACTACCTATTCCTCAAGGTCCATATAAGCAAGATCTGACACAATAGGTTACTACTGGGACATCTGTGTGGCTACTATTAATATATTAACACTTTCTCAGCAGGTGCAGTTTCAAGGAACCCTCAGTATTTTTTCAAAGTGCCAGATTATGACCCAAAAACCTATAATGTAGTCATTTCACTCATGCAGAAACATTCTGAGGATATGCAGGATGCAAAAAACTTGAAGATTGGCTTTTTGATCACCATGGTAAGCACAATCAGGTGTCACGTAGGCACTGCTGGTTTCTATATGCCTTAGTATACCTGTACATGGAAGTGAAAGACTGAATTGTCTCTTGGGCTGTAAAAAGGCAGTATTTGGAGTAAATTTCTGGATGCCTTCTATCATAGAACATCACAGGAAAAGTAGATTTAGGCTGACTTAGAGCAAAGGATGAACTTTTAGTTCCGTAACATCCCAAAATAGCCCTGGAAAACTTAGGGGTTCCTCAGGTTACAAGACATGGCAGGGTAATATCCTCTGTGCCCAGCAGTACTCATGACATGCCTTGCTGGCCTGGGACAAGGCATGAGAGCCAACACTAATGACAGCACTTGAGCAGTACTCCAGGTCTAGTAGGGAAGCGAATGGACTCTTGTTCCCCTGAATGGGTCTGTCTTACTTGTCCCTCCTTTTCTGTCACAGAAATGCCATGCAAAGCCCACTTGCAAAATACATGGAAGGCTTTGCTCAAGACCAGTGTAGTGGTAATCCACCTGGGACCTCCACTACAATTTCCCCATTGTCTTTTCTTTTCTTGGTGACTGTCCAGGGAGGTGCCATTTCAAGGGCAGTTGTCAGAACATTATCAGGCTTACTGAAAGTGCAATTGCTAGTGCAAATAAATGCTAGCCTTTTCCAAAATGTTTTTGTTGTTGGTTGAGGAGGTTGGAGGGGGTTGTTCTTAGAGATTGCTATGACCCTACATTCACATTCTCCTGACCACTGGAGAGATTTGCCCTAGTCCTAGGCTTTGAATAATTGATGCTATAAGTCTACCAGCTCCTCATAAAGGAAAAGCATGGCTTTGTAGCTCATAAAAAACAGTATCTGAGAAATAAAAGACGTAATAAAAAGAGCATCCCTCCAGCAAGTGGAACTCACTATCCCTATGCAACAAGATCCTCTGCTCGCTGCAGGTATCAGGCCTGCAGGACTCCATGGGACTAGCTGTGCCACTCAGAAAGAGCTGCTACTCCTGGTAAATGGAGAACTCGCTCCTTCCAGCACCCTTATCAGCTGTCCCCCAACAGTCACCAGGCATGGAGGTCCCTGCATGCTCTTGCATGATGTGTGTCCACTTTGATTAGTTACCAATTTTAACAGAAATGACTCTCACTGGAAGGTGATAGCATAGGTCTTGGGTCCCTTGAAAAGCAGTTGTTTTATCAGGAAGTAGACTAGGAGATAGATTTGCTCTATTCTTCGTTTATATTTAAAATTTCTTTCTTCCCCTCCAGTTGGTGCTCAGATGTGTTCATTTAGTTTTTCTCTCTCTTGGTATGTTCCCAAGAATGGATGAAATTTGATTAGTATGTCAAGTCTGGATGACACGGCCTCTGTGGGCTGTCAGCCCACAGCTCATCTCAGGCTCAGTTTGGGCCTCTGATCCTAGGTGATCTCCTATGCAGGAGCTGAAGGGCAAGGCCAGAACAGACCATTACTAAAGGCACCAGGATTACTGTGGAGCACCTGGGCCATGAGAGTAAGGGGACAGTTATGTTGCTCTGTCACACCATAGCTTTTAGAAATGTAATGATGTTGGTAAAAATCCATAAAGCATATTACACAGGAAATATTCTCCCATGAACACAGCCTAAGTATTTTAACACGAGAGCTGGTCTACCAGCTCCTCACAGCCAGCCCAGCATCCTGCCCTGGTAGCAGCAAAAGCCAAGTCCAGGAGCTAAAATCAGGGTAGATGTAGTGTGCTGTTGCCTTGGTTTATTTCCCAGCATCTAGCCTCAGTTCCTGAGGGCAGTCAGAGGTGACTTCATTGTGTAAAAGTTTACAAGCGGTTTCCTTTGCATGAGGAGAGTGCAATTGCTAAGATTCATGTGGCTTCACCGCTTTCACTGCCATTATTCATTAGCAGCATCATTCATTGTTCAGTACCTTTTGAGATGCATCAAATTGTTGCTGTGAAGTAAAAAGAGTATTATCGCTTGGCAGGATGAGAGGGGAATGCAATGTAGGCAAGGATGCAAACCAGAATGGACATATCTGATAGCTCTAGGAAGCCTTTGATTAAATATAGACGTGGAACTTTAATACATGGCTGTAAGGGAAGTTTAATGTTGTGTGATAGAGCCGAGCAATGCATAGAAGCTGATTCTTATCTCACAACAGTTTCGACTCCATTGAGATATTAATCTGCTTGTGCTTTTTACCAGAAGGAATGTGGAATGAGACCCAAAAGTAAAGAAACGATTACACCATTTATTTCTTCGCAGCACTGCCCATTTCTATCTGCTCAAGATCTGACCCATAATACTTGGCAGTCTACATACCTCCCAGCTGTCTGTAACAGTAGTCATCTTTTTTTTTTTTTTTCTCCCAAAATAGCAGTTTTATGTTATTTTCTCTCAAAGGCATGGCTCATAAATAACTCTGCCATGCTGTATAACCATTCTAAATGGAATTTATACACACTGATGTATTTTGGGGAATATGTTTAGTAAGAGTTTTTTATTATGCTATCTTTACATGTCATCATAGTAATAGTTGTTGCATTATATTTGTTTCACCTCAGCAAAAATACTGGAATAACAGAAGAAAGATCAGAATATTTTGTTTTCTTGTGACACTTGCTGAAGCATTGTCATCTGGGTGAGAAGTTTCGTGAGCTTTCTGAGTCATGCTAGATCGCAGGGAAGTTTTAGTAAGAGTATTCATCCTTGATTCCTTCATGGACTCCAGTCTGCTTAATGTTAATTGAAGTTCTCTTCAAATCCACTTACATTCATTTTGCCTTCTGTTTCTTTCAGTTCTTCCACCCTTGTGCATTTTTGATGTGTCCTTGAACAAAGTCTGTCACCTGGATGGGCTTTTTATGCCACTGGGGAGGTTAAGGCATGTTAGATGCAGTGTATATTTAGAAAGCTGTGGGAATATAAGTCTGCTGTGGGTGCACTTGCTGATTTACTTTCGTTCCTGACATGGAGTGGAGATAGCCGGGTATATTTTTGTTTCAGGAGAACTCCAAAGTTCTGAAACAAGACTTTTCCCTGACTCGAGACGTGACTGGCTAATTTATCTTAAAAAAAAATTCCTGCTACAACAGAGGACAAAGAATTTGAATTTCTCTTACGAATTTTTGTGAAGAATCAAGACTACAATGAGTAAGAAGATAAGTACTCCTTATAGGCCCCAGACTTACAGTGTGACAGGATTTAACAATTTAATGTCAAGATAACTAATGTGGCAATTTGCTTTTAACATACTCTAGAAGCGTATTGGGAAGACACAGCCCTGTGTTAAGCACCATGTTGAGAGGGGATCAGATGTCTAGTCAAATGCATAGGGGTGGTCACGGCAGAACAGTGTAATAACTCATCTGCATCTACCAAGGGTCTCAGCTTTGGTACAAAGAGCCACAAAAGCAAGCAATAACTGCGACATATGCCCTCCCCGATCGTGGGGAAATCTCTCTTTACTGACAGGAGGACTGAGAGCTTGTTTTTCTTAAAAGCTGTTATGTAGTTTATTATGTTATGCAGTCTGGATGCCAGATGCATCAGGTCACATTCTGCTCTAGAGACCTAGAAAGAGCAGTGAAAGGCCTTGATTCCTTTCCCCAGCCATCTCATGGACAGGCCAATAGGGCTCCCTGTGAGTATGGGAGGGGCCTTGAAGATAAGTTTAGTGGAAAAATGGTATCTTAGTTCAAGCAAAGGCAGCTGTTTTCACATTTTTCACATAAATATCTGGGTGTGCTTTACATAGAGAGCAAACCTCAGCATTCAGCCTTATCAAATGACCTTCAAGTATCAGATGTGCAGTGGCTTTCCTTCAGCAAGCTTTATAGTGGAGGTGATTGCAGCTCTTACCTCATAGGCCCATATCTTAATAATGAGATTGCTTTCTAGGCTTTGGCCCCTGGCAAAAATAGCCCAGAACCAACTAAGGCAACTCCTTAGTCGTGGAAAACAAACATGAGATGTCTGTGCTCTGGGTTGGACTGCCTTTAGCATGATGAGTCATGCACAGGATGACTCAGCCTTGGTAGGCAGCACTTTCCAGGAGAGCCTCCGACCCCCACAGACCTTCCTGAGCTAGGCCAAGAGTAGGAATCCACTTTCTGTGGGTCTCTGCAGCACTCACCTATATAATAGTGCAGATGCTATAAAAGTAGCAACTGACTTGCCTAATGGCTCTACCAAAAGCAAAACTCAAGTATGGAATGTTGCTCCTAAGTGAGTCTCAGAAGGAATGGTGACCCTAGCTTAATTTCAGCCAGTCTGCAGACGTTTAAAAGATGTTGCCTTTTAACAGCCCAGATGCAACTTTTATTCCTGACTATTAAACTAGGCAAAGAGAAAGCAGGTGAAAATTTTATGTGGCTCAAGGCAGGGCAGCCCTGTCTTCTGTGTGGTGAGGTTAGTCCTGGCATGCTCAGAATGAAACAAGTTACCCTTTTTCTGCTGCTGGTGCCAGCAGGGCCATCTTGGGGAAGGCAGTGGCCCCAGAGCAGCCAGAGACTCAGACCTGTTCATGTCTGCTTGCATAGAGAAACCCAGGACTGCTGCAACAGGCTTGACTGAACTGGGACAGGCTGGGTGGTGTGGGTGCTGAGCATCTTGTGGGGCTGTGGGGTGGGTGAGTGCTCCTGTTGGTGCCTGCCTTCTACCACATCTGCAAATCTGTGCTCTGAAAAGACCTATTCTCTCCCAATTTGACTCTTGTAACTCTTTTCTAGGAACTCAAGTTCCCTGCCCAGCACAGTGCTGCCAACGGTAAGAGTCTGTGAAAACTGATGTAGATACTGGTGGTGGTGAATGATTACCAGAGACCATTCGGTAGCCACCTCTACTGACTTCTCTTCTTCCTTCCCTACATATCAGACACCATTCTGCTCTTCTCTCCTTTCACCACCCAGTACCTGTCCCAGAGTTCAATTTTGGCACCCTTCAACCTTGCTGGGAGAGCAGGTGACAAGCCTGGGGTGCCTCTCTGGAGAGACGGGAGTGACAATGAAGCCCTTCCTCTTCACATATGTCTCTTTCAGAGCCTGATTTTTGAAGGAAACAGATCTTATACAGTCCCTCTATCAGCCTGTTCAACTGCCCTTTTCAAGTCTCCACCTTTAACACTTCAACACTTCAAACAACCAAATATAGCAGGGGGAGAGCATTTCAAAGATGCTAAATTCTTGCAACGTCTGTAAAATGGGTACGTATCTAAGAAGGAGAGTTGGGAAAACTTTGATGAAAAAGTCTTGATTTTGACCTCTTTTAAAAAGAGGTCACACCTGAGAGCGGTGTCATACATGCCTTCCCCATGGCAATGGCTTCATTTGAATGCTCGCACCCTGTAAAGCACAGGAGTCCATAGGGGTGAGGTCCAAAGTAGGTTTCTTCTGATTTTCATTAGGATAACTTCACTGACATAAGGGAAGATAGGCTTCAAAACTGGTCGTGCCTCTAGCTAAACCCACATTTCAGTTTGTCTAGCCCAGCTACCATCTGTTGCTGGACTTCCTCGCTGTGAACTGTGCAGATTTCCAGAGCTGGTCCAGTCCACGCTGCTATCTCACAGGTTCCTTGCAAAACCCTGCCACTGAGAGACTGTTACTTATAGCAGTGCAAACTCACTGCAGGTCTTTCTAGCCAAAGGTGTAAGGCTGCTTCAGGAGAACAGAAAACAGAGTCCTTTCCTTGTGATTTGTTTTCCAGTCCACAATTAAGCCCCATTAGAAGGGTAGTGTAAATGGTGGCTTATTATCTCTTTCCACTGACAGGTTGTCAGTTCACTCAGCTGTTGTTGTTAGCCAATGTTTTGACTTTGACAAATTATGGTACCCATACTTTCTGCTCTTGTTCAGGTATTTGGGCTTCACTGGTGTGAATTATCTCTCACAAAGATGCTGAAGGCATTGGGGCCTAGGCTTAGATTTTTTTGTGAAACTTTATAATGTTAAGGATGACTCCCCTTAGTGCCTGGTGGATCTCCTCACCAGAGGGCTTAAAAAAATTAGTTAACCATTGAATTGCAGTTGCTCAGGTACAGTCAAGTCTGCCTGGGAGTTGAGAAAGTACAAGAGAAAGGAAAAGTCAAGTCCTGCTGTATTTTATTGGTTCACATGAATCTTCACACACCCTAAACCAGTGGTTTCAACTGAGGGCCTTTGATAAGGATCAGGCTTGATATCTCTATACTCATGTATTGACTTGCTGGGCTCCACTCTGGTGTGTTCTGTTGTCTTCCTCAGGCCCTGAGCTGCTCCCTCCTGGTTGTGCGAAGTGATAACAAACTATGCTTCTTCCTTCATCACAGAAGCTGTTCCTCACTCCTAGTCCACATTACTTTTGGGGTGTTAAAACTGCAGCCTGTACTATACATTGCGTACGCTCTCTAAAGTGCTCTTTGGATCTGCAGAATTCTGCCTCCAGTTGTTTTGTAACTGAATTATTTATGTGTATGCTTTGTCTTTCATCCAGGATGTACCAAGACAGAACCAGGACAGTTCCTATAAGGCTGTCTTCCTAAGATACGCTAAGCAGGTATCCTATCTAAATCGTCTTGCCGAAAAATAAAAATAAAAAAGGAACGTGGACTTGCAAAAAGAAAAACTGATCTATGATGTTGATACAAATCTATTTAGAAAAATGTTGTTTTGACATGTAGCTCCATCCTCAAGTGGATACCCTGAAAACAGTATTGATTGACCTGCCAAAACCCCCAGAAAAATGGGACATTCAGCTGGGATAGATTGGCTAGCCCCATATATCAGTGGAGGACTGGAGATTTGTGTTTGTGCTGGTGGTGGGCTGGCATGTGTACTTTTTTTGGGGGGTGGGGCTTTGGTTTGTTTATTTACTGAAAGCAATTAGAAAGCCTTGTGTATTCCCCCCTCTCATCAACATCATTTTTCATTTGCCTTCACGGCATTTGGTAACCAGGCATCAGTCAGTGTTGAAGTGATTGCTTCCTGCTCTTTCAGAGCCAAACTCTGTGTGTTCACAGGAAATGCTTTTAATGGTTTAATAAACTGTTATAAAGAACTCCTCGACTTAGTGAAGAGGAAAAAAATCACTGCCAAATTCTTTGCACAACGGATCTCTTGCAGTTAATAGTTATATCAATGCATGAAGGTGAAAATGAACACGGGCTGCTACGCTGAATGCCCTGGGGGTGTCTCAGGAGGGAGGCAGTCAGGTTCATCGATGGGCAGCTGAGAGGGAAGCAGGCAGCAGTGCCTGTGCTCCCAGCCTGCTCACCCAGTTGCCTCCTGTGCCTGCCCATCAGCAACTTGCCAGCTAGAGGCTGGTGAAGTCATCAAGTGTTCTCATCACTCCTGAGAATACCCCATGGTGATGGGAGTGCCCATAACTCCCCTGCAGACTCTTGTAGGGAAGGACAAAGAGTGGCCCAGTAATGTGTGTGGCTTTGTTATGTTCCCGAGAGGGTGCTGCTGTTCCTCTGATATAAGCAGAGATCCTTCTTGGTTGTGGCAGTGCCAAAGTGACACAGGAGAAAACTCAATGCTCACAGACCTGTCCTTGCATTTCATTCTGCTTTAGGGCTCAGCTATTGATGCCTCACAGCTGCAACAACTCCTTAATGAAGTGATCATGCAAGGTAAAGCTTTTACAACACAGCTAATGTCTTTGTTGCTTCGCTATCCTTAGTCTTGTGTAAATTAGACAGTGGATTTAGTGGTGTCCTGATGGTCCTCAAAAAATCCTCAATGTGGCTTACTGCACTGTTGGATATTGAAGGATAAGAAGTGCCTCCACCAGGGTTCCTTTAAATACACAACAGTTTGGTTTTATTTTTTTGAAGAAAATAAAAGTAATATTCACATGAAGAAGGCAATGCAAGCCAGACCAGCTGCTAACAGACTCTTTAATGCATGGCTGTTAGCAAAACTGTGCATCTGCTTGACTGCCAAATTTCACCCTTCTCTCCCCCTCCCAGTTCTGCCAAGGGACAGCCTCTGCTTCGCAGACCTACCCTACCCTTTTCCTGAATGTCCCTGCAGCTCCTGTGAGCACCCTTTCCCTCTCCACGCCCCACCAAATGCAGCAGTCCTTGGCTGGGTTGCACCAGTGAGCTCCCAAGGGATCTATGCCTCTTCCTCTCCTCGCTCCATCCAATTTCTCCCAGTTCAGCCCCAGCCTGCATCACTCCTCTGCAGAGGCCTCAAGCTGGCTTTCAGCATTTCTCAGCCTCCCTAACTTGCCCACCTCAAAATCAGCATGGACAGGGGCAGAGATGGAGAGCTTGAACCAACTCGGTCATGCACAAGGCTTGAAGTGCTCCTAGGACTCACTAATTCAGCATAAATGGCCTTTCTTATCACTGTCATTTCCATTATCCTTATTTCAAGAGGGAAGAGTTTCCATCAGGGCTGGCAGGTGGGCAGAGACTATGCAGAGTAGCTACCTTTGAGCCCAAACAGGATGCTGTCCTTGGGGGAGGGAGCGGTAGAGATGTCTGAGACATGTCAAATTCCCTCAGTGGACCTCAACCTGGCATGTAGCCTTTGCTGCTGTTTGAGAAGCCAAGCCAAATCTGGGGCTTTTTAGTTATGTGAGCCTTCGGACTGGTGTCATCCTTCCCTCTAAATGGTGACCTGATGCCTCTGTCACCCCCCCCTTTCTCTCACTAATTCCTTCTGTTTTGTCAATACTTGCAGATGAAATGACCAGCCTGGGAGGAAGGTTCAGCTTTGATTCATGCAGAGGCATTTTAGCTCTGATGGATGTATCCTTTCAGCAGAAGCAATAAACTTCCCTGGTGCTGACCGCCCTTGCCTTGAGTTATGGCTGAGCTGGGTGTCCCAGTGTGAGAACCTGCAAGTAAATATTAGCCACAGTCCTCAATAAATAGCTGTCCCAGAGTCTACGAAGGACTTTCCCAGGTGTGTCCTGGGTCTGACATCTCTGCTAAAAGGCAAGGGTCAGTCTTCTCCTAACTCTTTGCTCTCATTTCCCCCTCTGCAGTGCCCAGGGCTTGGCTAAACCTCACCCTTGGGTGCAGGTCCGAGGCAGAGCCCAAGGTGAGGGAGCAGCACAGAGCTCAGGCATAGCCTGGCTTTTCCATCACAGCTGCAAACACACTGGCCTGTGATGGCAGCTCAAGCAGGCTGCTAGCACTGCCGGCAAAGCTGGTGTCAGCGGGCGAAACGCTATCACTGCCGAACCACAGGCACTTGCCTGGCAGACCATTCATCCTTTCCAGTGTACCTTCCCTATTTAGACAGAACATGCAGTCTTTTTACTCTTAACAAGACAACACTGGGAATACATTGCTGGCTGTTGTAGAACAAGAGGGCTCCTTGATGAAAACATAAAGTCTTCCCCATGTGTTTTCTCCCCCTTGCTTGCTCACTGTCTCTTTTCTTCCATGCCTTGAAATAACTTTGAGACATTTTCAGACCTTTACAAACTGCCAGGGAGCGAATAAAAAAGACCAGAAGTCCCTTTCTCGTTGCAGCTTTCTGCATCTAGCCAGTGAAAGAGATTTTCCCCCTTTCCAAAGCCCCTCCTGGGCTAAGTGGGCACTGTGAATGCATGGCATGTGCAAAGAACCAACAAAGCCATTGATCTGCTTTAATTCAAGGTGGATTTTTCATTCTCTGGGCTGTGTACAACCCATGTACAGTGTGACCTATCCTGGCCTGCAAGGACAGGATCAGCTTTTTTCACTCAGGTTTCATGGCAGTGGCCCTTGCCTGCTTATATTTCACTGGTGATGAGTTTTGCTTTCATGGAGTTTTCACCATCCCAGATGCGTTAGGTGAGGTGCTGCATGTCTGCCCAGGACTCCTAGATGGTGTAAGGAGGGGAGCAAGTCCACTGACACAGTCCTTTCAGCATCCCTGTGGGATGTCTGCTGGCACCCCTGGGCTCCTGCAGCTCATGGTGGGAAATGTTTCTTGCACGTGGTGTATGTGTGGCTCAAAAGCTGCTGCTGGCGTCAGAATCAGCTCCTCATGCTTTTGGCTCCTTCAGTGCCTGTTCCTCCAGGAGGATCCAGCCAGAACTAATACTGCGCTGCTTTGTGCACAGAGGCAAGGCAATGTGCCCATGTGGCCCGGAGCATGGGGTCATGCTCATCCACAGCCTTTGTGCTCGGTGGCTAAATGTCAACTGAAGTGATCGTTGCAGGTTGCCTTGTGGTTAAAGGCAACGTATAAATAGAAACCTTTTGTTGTTTGTGAGCACAGGTATGAGCAGCTCTACAATGTGCCAAAGAAGGTGCATTTAACTCTAAGCATAATCAAGAACAGAAACACTCTTGGCTTTCTCGACACAAATTAACAGACAGAAGAGACTGCACTTTGTATCTTTCTTTACATGAAGGCAGCATCCTCAGGAATGAAGACAGCCAGATTTAGCTCTCATTAACTGTTCAATTCTTAACTAAATGCACAGCTCAACTCGAACGGACAACTGACGCTGCAGGAGTTCAGCAGCCTCTGGCGAAGTCTCACTAAGTACATGGTACATGGGGGCTGCTCTCCTCTCTCTGCCGATACCGTACTCTTGGGCTTTTCATCATCAGGGCGCAGGTGCTCTGTGATATCGAAGTGCTGGGGGGAAGAATGTTGCAAAGGTGGCTGGCTTAGTGGGTCAGATTTCCATCCTCTCAGGCAAAGGTTGAGAGCTCAGGAAGTAGTGGTGTGTAAAGTGTTCCAAACGAGCAAGCAAGGCTTTTCTAGCACAGGGAATATTGAGGAAAAAGTGGGAAAAGGTAGGAAGGCTAATTAGGCTCAGAATTTAATGGAAATCTTTGTTTGTGTGCCCCCACTGGCAATTTTTTTAGAAGCTTTCTAAACTGAAATGTGTTCTTGGACAGTCATCTGAAAAATGTTACTTCCTCATCGCTGCAGGTTGTAATGGAAGTGTGTAAGATCTGATGAAAATTTGTCTGGGAGAAATGTCTCTGCTTCAGGATAAGCATTAGGTCTGGAAGCAGGGAGGACAGTAGCTTGGTATCTAGGTTCCTACCTAAACTCAGAGCCAGGGCATGCATGGCAGCTTCTCTGTGTCAGGTCATTCTCCCTCAGTTTTGGTGCAGCACAGGAAGGTTTCCTGAAGCCTCAGGGTTGGGTGGGCTCTACTTTGTTTCATCCCTCTTGAGGTGGTCTGAGGCCACCTAGGACATGGAGTACCAGTTCCCCATCTAGCAGCGGTGCTCTTCCCACTGACAGCACCTGAAGTGTGGCCTATGGCATTTCAACAGTGTCTTGGGAAAGATGACTCCACACCATTCTGGGACTCAGGAACTCCTGGCTTGTTTCATGTGTTATAGGCAATGTTTTTTTGTCAATGGAGGAGTGAGTATTCCCATTGCTGCCTGCACACATAAACCAGGGAGAGTGAGGTAAAAGGCTTCCACCCACTCAAAACTGTGGGATTTCTTACACAGTAACATAATGGCTGAGCCTTCTGGAAATGGGTCTCCCTTGTCATGGTCACCCCATCTCATCTATTGAACTTCCTTGCAGCCTATTTATTAAAGAGGAAAAGCATCCTACATAATTAGATGTAGTAGTAAATTGGGGGAATGGTGATACAGGCTTGAAATCTGCCTTTACACTGGTTTTTAGGATATCTTCAGAAAGGAAGACAGAAACCATTCTGGATTTCTTGATGTGTCTGAACTGAAGAGTGCGATACAGACAGCAGGTATGTCCATAGGTGCTGAGCAGCTCCCTTTCTTGTCCCTGTGGCAGTGAAGGAAAGGGTGAAAGAGAGGAAAGAAAAAAAGAGCTTCAGGAAGAAAGCAGTTTGGATTGCACAGAGGTGCCAGTTAGATCACAGCTCTGCTCAGAGGTCTGCGTTTTTTAGGGCATTGAGACAGAAGGCTCATTTCAGGGAGAAACCCTTTGCGCTGCAGCTGGGGAGCCAGCAGAGAGATGCAGAGAAGCAGAGCATAGGCCAGAGCCTGCAGAGACCAGCTTATCCGTAGCCTCTCCAGGACAGTGACTAAGTCTGTAAGGGAAAGCCAGAGCAACAGACATTTATTTAGTTTGCACTGACCTCTGTTGGCTATGCAAATGCTGAAACTTGCAGTGAGTGCATGAGACCCCTTCATATGAGTGGAGCATTTTAGCTGGGCCATGTCTCCAAAGACTTTGTGCATGAAATACAGCTCTGAGACAGCAATCCTCTTATAATTGTACAGTGGAGAAGCTCCCATTTGGCTACCTGGAGCTTGGAGGGGTGCTGTCCTGAGGAGGAACCTGGTGAAGGTTTGCTATCCGTGGAAGGCATCAGCTCAGGGGATGTATGTGTATTTTTTTTTTATACTGAGAGGTGGGTAGAGCACCAGCTTCTGCCTGAGGAACACAGCACTAATGTGCCAAATGTCAAAGGAGAAGTTGCCAGGTCCATTCTGTAAGAAAGGAGCTAATGTGTAAAATTGAGAGGAAAACTGTACATTGAGAGCTCCTGGCAGCCAAAATAGTGCAGCAATCTGAAGGGATAAAAAGACACTGTTAAATGGTAAATTCAATACATGTTAGGCTATAAGCAGTTCTGAGGGGGGGCGGGGGGAAAGAAAATCATAAGCTCATTCTTGCCACCTTCTGAGCCAGACAGCTGCATTTGAATCTGGCTTTGCAATAGGATGATCCTCATCCTGACTTTTAAGCAGGAGGGAGTGGACAGCCCCAGAAAGTGTTTGGGAGGTTGATGCTAACTCTGGGAATGGCACTAAATGCAGGTCCTAGCCAGCTGTTCCTTGAAGTGTTCAGTGCTTTCCCCAGCAAAATGCTGAAGTGTGTGCTCTAATCTTTCTCTGTTGTCCTAAGGCTTCAAAGCATAGTAATGGTGGGTCAAATTTTCCGCTGGAGTAAAGCAGCCCAGCTGCATTAACAGCAGTACTGCCCTGAAATACAGGAGCATCGGCCTGGTGTATTACAAACTTTTCAATAGCTACACTAAATGCATCAAAAAATAGGGAAACATAAAGTCTGTATTTTAAATCTTGACTAAAACCAGAGTGAGGAATCCAGCAGACAAAAGGTGTGGGGAGTAACCTTCAAATAAGTGACATCACATAGCTGAAAATTCGTGGGAACAGAGAGGACTGCCACTTCAGTCTTGTTGATGAGGTTAATTGAGAGACATTGCCAGGTGAGCAGATTTCAGAGCAAGTATATCCCAGACTGATCATGCCAAATTGTCAGTGTTCTACTAGTGTAAGACATGATTATAGCATCTCGTAAGCAGCGCTGCAGTGCTTGCTGGAATCTGCTCTCAAGAGAGAGCTTTGAATTCCCACTCCCTTCAAAAGGTTAAAAATAAGAGAGAATTCATTGCTCACTACAGTGGTTCTTGGCAGTGGTTTAAAACCAGAACCAAAGAAGTTTCGTTAATTACATTTTTTTAATTACCAACTTTTCTTCCTAGGAAAAAAAATCTGAAATCAAGTTTCTCTTAGTTTGAAATGTATCTTAAGCCCAAATGTATTTCCATTACTTAAATATTCAGCATTGCTTCCTGCTGGAGACCTTCTCCAACTAGGCTCATGCACCAGAGTTTGTTGAGGTACTAACCCACCTGCATTGGCTGTATCTCCCCCCACACTTCGCCTACATAGAGAAACAATTTCCTTCTTTTCTGCTTGTTCAACTAATTTAGCTCCATGTTGAGGTCATTTAAAACTGAAAAGTTTAGAGCTGGTTGAAAAACCAGGGAAGTTACTTCTCTTCCAGCTGAGCCACTAAAAACTAGGGGTGAGAAAATGAGACTTTCTGTAGTCTCAGAGAATGCATTAAACCGAAGCTATCAGTCCAGCTTTCTGCAGAAAATTTCTCCTTTGTTTAGCAAATCAGCTTTTAGTGCAAGATGTATTTAAATCATTCCTCTTTCATAGCCAGCACATTTAGGGTAGTTTTATTTAACTAATAAAAGAATCATTCTAAAAGGCAATTTTTGTTCATTCAATTGAATACCAATTTCCATCCAAACAGACTGTGACACAAATACTGAATAATCAGCTAATAAAAAAAGAAATGCACCCTTCACCATTTTCTAATAGAAGAGAAAATGTAAAAATTAAGAATATCAGGCATACTATACTGCATAATAGCATGAGCATGCGATATCTCCCTGTTTAGCAGAAACTCACCAGTGGTATTGTAAATGCTACGCTCAGACTTTAAGTTGTGAGCCAAAGAAAATCACCCTTTCTTATAGAAAATAAAAGCTAAAAAGGCAAAACAAGTTAACACTAGATTAGTTAGCTCAATGTTTCTTGCTTGCTGACCCAAGCCACAATTCAAGTAAGTGACTAGAAGGACTTTGATTTTCCATCACCCTACCCTGGCTCTTATGCACCAACCTGGGGAAAGGCAAGCTGCTACCCAGGGATACAGATACCCGACATGACAGGGTGGGGGGCTGAGGGAGGGCCCCAGCTTCTTTGCAGGGTGCACAAGGCCATCAGAGCCTGTCCATCACCCCGCAGTCTGTCCCCAGTGCTGTCGTTCCTCTTCCCTCTGCAGGTCTGGCCGCTAATGAGCAGCTTCTGTGCCTGATGGCCTTGCGGTACGGCAATGCTGCCAGAAGAGTTGGCTTCTCTGACTTTGTGTGCTGCATGCTGCGCCTTGAAACCATGACCTGTGAGTCTCAGTGCCGGGGCCTGGGGTTGGGCAGGGGACATGGCAACAGGTGAGCTTGCAAAGCCAAACTGAGGCAGTGGCAGGAGGCAAGGGACACGGTGCTAGACATGATAATACATGTCTAACAGCGTAACGTGGAAATAACAAACCAGCCAAAGGTCCAGGCATCCCTTAGGGCATCCTGTTTTCTAGAAGCCAGATTTATCTCCTGCCCACAGGAGCAACTGGCTGGTAGAGAGTGGTTTAGTGCTGAGAGAAAACAGCAGCTGGGAATACAGCGATGCCCTCGCTGAAAGGGGCCAGAAGGAAGGTCAGCCCCCTGTTTTCCGTCAGAGCTCATCAGAGTGCCCGTGGGCTGCAGCCGCACCACGCCGCCCTGTTTTTTTCCCTGCTGAGGAGCGATGGTAATGTGTATCCAGAGCTTCTTCAGCTGCCAGTCTTTTTTTCCTGCATGGATTTAGCCTGGCCTCTGCAGGCTTGTCCTTAGAGCCCCTATGCACTAAGACTCATTTTCTAAAAACAAGATGTGTCCTTGTGCTGGTGCCCTTCCACACAAGCTTGAGCATCCTGGTCCACAGCAGACCTTCCTCCAGGGCGGTGTGGAGCATTGCCAGTACCAGTGAGGAAGTCTGCATCATGGCCAGTGAAGAGGAATGAGGCAACACATCTCAAGTGGAAGGCTTTCTCTTTTGGTGAAAAGTCAGAGAATTCTGAATCACAGCAAGCAAGGCACATTTTTTGTTTGGTTGTTTTTTAGCTGGAGAAATGTTTTTCCCATCAACATCAGTAAAGTTCTCTCAGTTTTTTGGTAAGGAGAATGTCTGAGATCCTTCTCAGTGGATAAACAAACCCATGCCCTGTGTTGCATCCAGCTATTGTCTCGCAGCTACAAGGAGGGAGTGTCTATAAATAAGCATTTGCCTGAAATTAAATGGAATTCTGATTTACAAAAGCAAAATTTTTTACTACTCTAATAATAAGCATTTTGACTGTAAATGCTGGTAGTTAAACAAACCCAGCAATTGTGACCCATGTGTTAGAACATTGCTACAGCAATTTAGTTCGTCTTCAGAATGAGCTGGGTTTCGACAGGGCGTGGAAATGAGTGTTCATTTTTTCTCATGTGTTTTTACCACTAATGTTTTATGGGCCAATGGTGGTCAGTGGATCCGCCCAGATGACACTGCCTAAAATCCCATTTCAAGTGAGTACAGCAGAAGCAGCTCAGAGCATGTCCTGATTTTAATGCTTTCATTAAAAACCAGATAACTTGTAAACAGCCGTTTTTTGTGATTATACATGTCATTTGCTGTAGATGAAAATTCTTATGCCTAAATTAGTACCATGGCATTTTTTTTCATCTCAAAAAAGATCTTCTTACATTTTAAGTGACAGTGTAAAGACAACTCCTCTACATCCATGTGGAAAGGAATCTCTAAAAGTTTCATTGCTGTCTGTAATGAGTATCTTGAAATGCTCTCAACTCTTTCAGTTATCACTTTACAGAGGGTTTAATGTGGAATACGTTTCTCAAACTTTTTAATTCATTGTGAATAAAATTGTTATAGGAGAGGATAAGGGTGCCAAGTGGGAATAAAAGTCAGTTGACCTTTGTGACGATGTGAATGCAGCAGGGAAGATAAAATCTGTCCCATTAAATCATTACTCATCCTTTCAAAATAGCCAGAGATGAGACCCAAACCAAAACCAGCAGCTTCTTTGCAAACTCTCTTTAACTGGAGTTAATGAAGCAGTAAAGGGGCACTTACCTCTGCCCAAAGCAGGTAACTTCAGCGCTGCCATTGTTCCTAAAAGGACGCTGGGCACAAGCCCAACCCTGCAAATACAACCTTGTTAAGGGGCTGGGCAAAATGTGGGGATTTCCTTGTTGTATCCAGCAGTATAGGCTGGATGTGCTTCATCATGTTAGCTTTCCTCTGCTTTCTCTCTGCTCTGGATCATATAGGTAGCTCTGGTCGCCTTCTAAGGGGCTGATGAGCGAGGCGCCTTTGTGCCCTGTTCCTGCACTCTCCCAGCAGCCTTGCACTTTTGTCTAAAGCTGGGCAGGTTTCAAAACATTCATGATCTTACGATGCCTTTTCCATTCAGAGTGGGAAACAGGCTCCTGGAGAAATGTGTCATTCAAGGATAGATTTAAATTTGTTTCAAATTTTTATTACTGTTTATAACAGCACATTTCTAGGAGAAGAGTAATTTCAAAATAAATAAAAAGAGCTCAAAATACTGTGTTTTGACTTTATCCAAACACTTGGGTTTGAACGTTTCTCCTAGACAAACTGCAATATAAATGTGCACATAGAATATCAATATTTGAATGGATTTAAATTTTCTGATGCCAAAGTGTTCCATCAGAAAACTTACAGCAATGTTAATTTCAAACTCTAGCTGAGTAACAGCAGCATCTGCATTTATATTCCCTGGGAAAAGCTTGCAAGGCATACTAATGACTTCAAGAGAATCACTTTCTTTAGGGCACACTGTGATCACACACTGCCAGGGAGGATGGAAAAGGACCAACAGAAAGTTTCCCTGTGGGAAGATGTGTTTCATTAGTTCACCATTCTCCTGTCAGTCTTCAGGCGGGAGGTACAATTGAAACAAATTATGAGAGGAGATGAAAGCCGTCACATTGAGTACTCCCTGTCTCTACACTTCTGCCAAATCCTGGCCCTGCAATTGGGATGCCTTCCCAGGCTGTGATCCAAAGGGCAAGGCAGAGGGGGTATGCGGCACAGATGTGGCTAGGCAGGACAGCACGGGTGGACACCTGAGCCAGGCAGACCGTGCCAGCGCAGGCACTGCAGCTCTGCTCCTCAGCTGCCACAGCCTTATGTCTGCATTGCATTCTTGCTTCCTCCTCGTGAAATAAGATTTTCTTTGTTCTACACCTAGATGCATTTCAAAACTTAGCAGAGGGCAGATCACAAATTTTGATGACGGCAATGGAGGTAAGAATGCTCCTTCCTTCTCCTCTCTCCAGGTCCAAAGTGGGAGCACTGAGTATGTTAGCAGGAGGGTGAAGTTAAAGATGGTGCATGATGTATGTTGCCAGGGGTTTTACTTCTGACGCCAACAGTGGTGAGGGTTTTGCCTGGCTGGATGTGCATGCTGGGTGGGAGGTATTTCCCTGGGGTTCCCTGGGCCCAGTCACGCAGCCTCACTAGGGTGAGCACAGATCAGGGTGTCCATCCACAGCCAAATCACAGTCTTCCCTTACATACGCCAGCCTGTCATTATGGGAACTATTGCTCAAAGTGACTTTGAGGAAGTGACAAAAAAAAAAATCCATGCTCTCATTTCTTACTGCCCCATCTGTTGATTCTGAATTGCAAAACATCTTGGTTTTAAGAAAGAAACAGCAGACAAATGCTTGCTGCTGCTGTTTGTCTTAAAAGCACAGCCTGAAGGATAACTAGCTGAATGGGGATACATCAAGCTTTTTATCAGCTAGTCTGAAGCAAAAATCCTGCTGTGCTCCATAGTGATATGCCCGAGTGCTGCATTTTATCAGTCTGGGGACTGTTATTTGACAACACAGCATTTAAAAAGATTTTTTTAAACATTTTACAGTCTTGCCGGCTCCTGTTTACACTCTGTGGTTAGTTCAGAGCCTTAGAGTTCATCAAATCTGTTTTGCACCAAGAGCTGAGTAGAGCTTCCAAGCAGAACCTGGTTTACAGGGTAGTCTGTAGGACAACCACATTGCCAGAGCCTGCTGTCCCTTCCACTTGCAATCACGCAGATGCCATTCTTTCCCAGCAATTGCTCCTGCTGCAGCTGCTGCTATAATTTATCATTGAAAGCAACATATGGAAAGTGTTTCTGGGTTTGAATTGTAATAAGAGAAAAAGGCAGTTCCAAAACCCCTTAACTGTCCTGTGCAGGACAAAAGCGCCATAGTCATTGGATCACAGCCTGAAGGTACCAAGACACGTGTCTGAAGACTTGGTGTAACATCGCCACCTAAATGAACCTTTTCTTCTTTTTCCAGTGGCTGACTCTTGTCATGTACACCTAAAGAGACGTCAGAAATCAATGTGGCTGGTAAGAAATCTCCTTAGTACTGTAGATACTGAGAAGAAAAGAGTGGGCCCTTACAGTGGCCACAGTGAATATGAGTGGGAACCTTATAGAAAGCTCACCCTGGGGTTATGGTGGGTTTTGAGAGAAAAGTGAGCACTGCAGCACAAGCAGGGCTAGAGAGGGGCTGTGAAGGGAATTGGACTTTGGGCTATTTTTTTCTGAGGAATGGCCTTATCAGTTGCTCAATTAGCCACTTGTCCCCTGTTCCCACCTGAGGTTATACATTTTCAATAGATCAACTAGTAGAACTTGTCTTTTTTGTCTTCGTCTGAGGGATGCAATTGCTTCTGAATATCTTACATAGCTGCAGCAAATGTAAAGCCAAGTAGAGGGTGGGGATATGAGGTCACTTAGATTTCTTGGTCAGTCTGATTCACATTTTTAACTGAATTATGTGATTTAGTTTACTTTTGAACAACAGTCCCTACCTTGCTCTTCATTTGATGTTTGCTCTCTCCATGTCAGGCCTGGAGAGGGGCTTTTTTGCCCTGAAGTTTACCTGAACTTTCCAATTTTGCTACTTGGTTCTCATGAAGGACCCTGCCTTTTCCTACAAAGCTTGTCCTGTTTGTACATCTGTAAACCATCTTGCCCATTGCGCTCCTACTAACAGACTGGGACACTGCTGTTCCTAGCTGCAATGGTAAAGCATTAGTGCTGATCCCAGGCATTTTTCACTGAGGAGAAAACAGGTAGGAAACCTAATCCTTAGAGAAAAACGTGCAGTGAAGAGCCAACAGCCTCCTGCCATTATGTGGCAATTGACCCCAGGAACTCACGAAGCACCCTTGGGCAAAGTCACACAGTTTCCTTATCAGCCAAGTTCAAAAATGGAATGAAAAAAACCACCAAAAACCAAAACAAAAAAACCCCAGGACCTTCATTGAAATCCAGGGACTGCATCCAGATGAGCTTTCCTATAGACAGGAATAACAATAACAAACAATACATGAACAGCATCTCCGATACCTCACATCCTGTTTCTGAAGGCAGTTGACATTGGATGCAGGCTTTGGTGAGAATTTGAAAGGGGAAATGTATAATCAAGGTGTAAATTACACTTTTCCCAGGAGAAAGCATGGTAGATTCAGACCCAAGTCAGTGACTGCTCTGTGTCTTTTACCCTTGGCTCCAGGACAGCATTCGTGCCCAACTACTCCTCTGTCTTGGCTTCTAAGTGCACCCAGTGTGTCCTTCTGCAGCAGGAGCTGGGCCTCACCACTCAACACTGAGATGCCTTCATCCCTCTGAGCTGTGTTTGCACAAAGTTCTTTGTTTGAAAGTGTGTCCTTCGCATTTGGAGAGCTTTGGACAGTGCACCTTGCCTTTCTCACAGCAAAGCTGAATTTTGATGTGTTGATGTATAGAAACAAATTATTCACAACACAGCACTCACCTCTTGCACTGCAGACTAGAAGGACTCACTTTGTGGGATGAAGTTGCTTAAATTATTGCTTGCAAATGATATTCATAGTCTATTTAGTCTTCTTTTCTCCTTTCATGAATCATTCATAAACTGATCGTAACTTCTGCAAATATATAATTAATCACAA